TAATGTAGCAAGGTCAGATCTGTATGAATTATATATTGCAGCGCACCTATAATTCTTCTATAGGTTGTAGGATTTTGAGTTCTCCACGCTTGTTTTTTTAATCAGGTCTTCTATGTATTGAGTTTGTGTCAAAAAGATTCTTGTTTCATCTTTGGTTGCCTCAATGCGAAGAAATAGATGCAGTGAGCCTAATCTTTCAAGGCAAACTTCTTGTCCAACTCTTGCACAAAACCTTTTAACAGGTTTATATCATTACCTGTCAATATTAAGTCATCAACATCTATAAGCACAAACATAAGTTTACCGTCACTCTTCATGATGAAAAGAGAGAAATCACACTTTGACTTTCTGAAACCTCAGTCAAGCGGTGTCTTCCTTAACATTTCAAACCAGGCTCTAGGTGCCTGTTTTAAACCATATAGTGCTTAATCTCCATTTAGGAACGCATTATTTATGTCAACTTGCCTAATAATCCAATTTTTGGTGACAACAATGATGAGAATAATTTTTCATATTGTTAATTTCTGAGTCACTATTACTGTGAGTCTGGCACTGCAGATTATCATGACTTTTTTCTCATCTTCGTGAAAACGACGAGGAAAGATATGGATAATTATTGGAATCTGGTTAGCTCAATTACTGCACGATGACCATGTTACAGTAGTGTGTACCTTGTTGGGAAACTAGGAATAGGGAAAACATGGATGGCAAAAAAGATTCGTGATAATGTAAAGCAAAAAGGTAAGTTTGATTTATGTTTTTGGCTGTCTATGAGCAGAAAACATGACAAGAAATTTCCACTTGAGAGGATTGCTACTCAGTTGCCTATGTGTTTGCCAACTGAGGAGTAGGATGCGGATGATGATGGTGATGACAATGAGGATGAGGAGATGTAGACAGAAGGTAATCTGAAACAGAAATATCAGCAGCTATTGGTACGAAGATGTGCTTTCTAATCTTAGATGGAGTATCTAAGGGAATGAAAGTAGATGAACTTGTATCAGAATTTGAATCCTTGGTTCCTGATTTTAAGCATCCTTCTTTAACAGTCTTAGTCACCACCATAGGTTACCCTGGAAATTCTATTGGTCCTTCCTTGAAGGTGGTGGAGATGGAACCCATGTCTGCAGCAGAGACATTAAGTCTTTTGGACGAAGAAATAAAAAAATCCAGATTTTAAACTACTAATTGAAAGTATCTACAAGGAAAGCAAGGGTACTCTTGCTAAAATTGAGGCTATTGCATAAGCATTAAATTACATTACAGAAAATAAACATTGGGTTTGAGAGAAGATTTTGGAGCAGACTCAGCAATTACTGATGCCTCCAGCATTATACCTTGCTTTCTCTGAATTGCACATGCAATTATGCCAACCAATGATTTGATCCATTGTTGCTGGCACAGCTGGCAGTACATTCACTTGAATGGTCCTGTTAATTTCACTCAATTGATAGCCCATTGGTTTATGGGGGTTGTCTTCGTTCTACTGATTGTAATGAGGATGCTTTTAACAAGGGTTACTCTGTTCTCATGGAGCTTGTAAGTCTAGGCTTTCTCAGACATGTGGAGTCCAACTGTGTTGTAATGGTGGGATGTGCAATGAAAGTGCCTTATTTCTGGGTCAGAGATGAAGAAGATAATGGAATTTATCACAATAACAAAGATGAAGGACAATATTCAGGTAGGGATCGCCAAAGATTTATAGGTACAGAGAGCTGTTTAATGGTTCCTGCTTTGAACGACAACATGTGGGAAGGATTTAGGGAAATTACCGGATTAATGACATGACAAGAACAGTTGGATATAGCAGAAAATCAGAGAAAATCTCAACATTATTGCTTGATGGTAATTGTCAAGGCAACGAAGTCCCGGATGCATTCTTTCATAGCCTGAATGGTCTCAATATTCTTGGCATCTTCAATCCCATGCTCAAATCTCTACTAGCATTCTTTTTGCACGTGCATGAAATTAGAATGTTTATCTTAAGAGGCTGTGAGTTTCTGGAGAAAATTAATTAGATACGAGGGCTCAAATCATTAGTTATTCTCGAGATATTTGGTGCTACATCATTGACGACAATTCCAGATGATTTCTTGCAGCAAATGCTTCATCTCCAGAGTCTCAACTTCTCTGAAGCACGGGTTGAAAAATTACCAGTTTATATTTCCAACTTAACTGAACTACGCTGGCTTATCTTGAGAGGGAGTCAGCCATCTAAAAAAGCTTCCATGACTAAGTGTCTTGAAAAAGCTTGATGTCATTGACCTTTCTGGTGCTTCATGTTTTGAAAGATTCTACTATACAAGCTTTTCGCTATTATCAAAACTCAGGATCCTTGACCTGTCCCACTCACAGATTGATCTCCTACCACTTCTATCTGGTTGTGAAGAGATAACACAGCTTGTATTAAGAAATTGTAGATCCCTAATTAGACTTGCAAGGCTAAAAGGGCTTTCTCACCTCCAAGTTCTTGATCTTTCTGGTGCTATTTATTTAAAGGAAATCTATGGTGACATTTTCGAAAATGCACATAGCCTTAAAAGTTCCTGATTTATCTGAAACTGGCTTGCATGTCTTACCTCCCATCACTTGCAACATTTCACTTATTTTGCCGAGAAATTGTACTGCACTGAGGAAACTGCTAAGTACAAAAGCTTGTAAGGACCTTGAATTGCTTGATGTCTCTGGTTCCTCTAATGTAGTTGAAATTAAAGATCAATCCTTTCGATATTTGTAGTGCCTTCGATGCCTAAACCTCTCAGATACCAAAGTCCGGTCTTTACCATCACTCTCCCAACTTCTTAACCTTGGCACTATTATAATAAGGGATTGTGAATTCTTAGAGCATCTTCCAGGAATAGGACTTGCAGTATGCTCAAGGTACTTGACCTCACTAATGCACATTCTCTAACAGGTTTTGATTACAGCCAGTTCCCAAATATTCGCCAGCTTATCCTATGTGGATGTTCCTCCCTTAGCCGGTTGCCAACTGTACCAAAACAGGATTTCCTCCAAAAGTGGAGTCCTTTCATGACTTTGATTAATGATTATTTTCAGACAATTCGGATGTGCTTTCTGAAGTAGAAAGAAGAGACATTTCAATATTTGTCAAGTGAAAGATCATGATTGAGAAGAAGAGGAAAAGATAAATGTCTTAGAAGTGTCTTTATCTCAGCGTGGAGTTTCTGCTTTGGGTACTGCGCAAGCATGGGAGAGTACTTCCCGAATATGGTGAAGGGAGAGAGACGTGATGGGGGAGAGAGAATGTGTCCAAGAAGCATTTTTCGCATTAGAAGGGGAGAGAGGCAGCGAAGAAGAGGCGAAGGAAAGAAAAAGAGATTGAGGAACTGTGGAAAGATATAGTGAGAAGAAGGTCGTCTGGAAGAGAAGAGATGGGATGAAGAATGTTATTATTATTATTATCATTATTATTTGTGTTTGGGTGGAAGGAAAATTAGAGAAATTATGGGAAAAAAAGTAAAAATAATTTTATTTTCTAAAATTATTTAAAATATGAGTTAGATCAGTTATGTAGAAAATGACAAGTGACTTTTAAAATCGAAAATAAATTATTTAAATATTGGCATGCCTAGAAACTATAGATACATGCTACAGTCATTAGTGACTCCTATTTTTTAAAAAAATACCGAGGGTTAATTTAATATAAAATTAATGGAAAAAATAATACTGAGTAAAAAATTAAAGATAAATTATGGACATGTATTAGCTAACGATTTAACAATGTTAAGTTAATTATTCAAATAAATAAAATTTATTTATTTATTTTTAAATTTATGCTACAGTCATTAATCGATGTTAATATTAATGATCATTTCTCTAATTTAGTATAACTGAATTTGTCTATTCACATTTAAAAATTTAAAAGTTCTACTAAACATTACAATTGTATGAATTAAAAATCTACTGGTTTAATAAAAAAATATAAGAATAAATTCTACAAAATTAAAATTTTTTAATAGAAATTTCTCATAATCTAATTATAAATTTTATTAAATTTAAAGTTAGTTTAATTAAAACTAACGTTCTCAATTTTATTACATTATAATTAAAAATCTACTTACTACAATTATATTACTTAACTTTCCAGTTAAATCTTTTGCAGTTAGAACTAAAACACTATCTAATCAATCATCCCAAACAAAGCTGTAAGTAAACTAAAACCATTTAAGAAATTAAATTACACAACAACTTTTGGTATATGAAAACTACTACATTTAATTTTAAAATAAAAAATAAATATTACAATACATGTAAAAGGCTAAATAACTATTACAGCTATCCGAGTTTATATATAAATTATAAATTAGTTATAAATTTGAAATCCAGAATTGATACTGAATTGATTTTAACTCAAAAGAGCTTTCCACAATTAAACAAATCCAGAGCTCAATTTATGCATGTACGTACATACACAGATTAACGCGCCAGACGATGACTGCTGCAGATTGTCAGAAAAAAAAATATGACACAGAATAAAATGAATACAAGATACTACCAAATTCTCTGTGCTTAAAAAAATCAGAACCATAATACTTGATATTAGTATCAAATCGTTACAATTTGAATATATGTAAGTTATTTCCTCCCTATATTGAACAGAAATTAATTTCTTCAGTCAGGGAACACAAGAACTTCCAATTTATCCACCAATAGCCAACATTCATTTGGTAAACTCTGCGTCGAATTACATAAATGAATTCACTCCACAACCCGATTGCTCTTTATCGCTATAAGGCAAACCGGCATCATACCTTACATTATATCTGATCAGAATGCAAATCTGCCGAATCCTCAGGAGATTATAAGTTTTTACTAGTTTACCTCGATTCGAGGATCCCAAAGTAGTCTTCTCGTCATGGCAGGTGGCGCTAAGCCTGGAATATCTCGGATGTCCTTGTTGTTTGGGTTGACCAGCTGAAAAAATGGATATCATGCAAGTCAACGGACAATATGCTAAAAAAAAAAAATATTCAACTATCATGCTAATAAAAGATATTCTCAACTCTCACATCTTTGCAAACTTTTATCTACTTCCTGAATACTTATGAAGCACAATGATCATGATGATGATATTGAAATTCTAATCCATACACATCCCAACTAATGAGGTACGGAGATGACCATTTCAGAAATGTTTTTGCCCAATTAAAATTACTTACTAATGCAGTTGGAAGGAAAATACATGGTGGCTCCAGGCACAAGGTCTTCAAAGTAATATTTTAAGATTTGCAGTATAGACAACGCTTCTTCAATCCTATTTTGTAATTAAGCATAAGTTAAAGAACATTGTCTAGTAATCATGCCAGCGTCTTTGAGATTGGTTCAATCCACTAAGTGATTTCTTGATAACACCCAAAATTTTTATTTTTATTAAAATTTTAATTTATTTTAATATTTAATTTATAAAATTTTAATTTATTTTAATTTAATTTAATAAAAATAAAAATAATAATAAAATAGAGTAAAATTATTTTTAGAATTTAATTGAAATTAATTTTAAGAAAAAGGAATGAAAATTTAGATTTTAGGGGTATTTTTGAAAAGAAAATCAAAAATCAGGGGTCAAAACACAATTTAGAAAAATAGTGACACGTCAGCAGCCCAGTCAGCAATCCCGGCCAACCAGGACACGCCGCGTGGCAGGGACGCTGACGCGGGAAGCCACGCGAGATGGAGACACGCGGGCGATCCGCGTGCGCGCGATCGGACGGTCCAGATTTGATCACGCACGGACTGCCCAGATCGCATCTCGATGGACGACCCAGATTTATTTCTAATTTAATCGCGATTGGACGACCAAGATTAAATCGTAATGGACAGCTTAGATTAAAAGGAGAATGTTATAAATAATCGCATCCACACCCAACCCCAAACCCTAGCCGCCAGAACCCTCGCTGGAGATGACAACCCAACCACCGGAGGAACCGGCCGCCGCCACCCACCGCCGCACCGGAGGACTTTCCGGCCGCCAAACGAGGTAAAATTTCTCCCCTTGGCTCGTTTTTCGATACCGAACCTCCCTGTGGCCAAATCGGAGCCAAACCACCAGTCGATTGGCCGAAAAACACCGCCGAAGTCCAGTGGCACCGCCGTAGGTTTTCTCGATTTTTGCCTCCGATGAGGCCCTTCCTGGTTTCCGTTCGATGTAATTTTTATACCACTGTGATCACCGTCCTTTTCTCTACAGATTGACCAGAGCAAAACACCGAATCGCAACTCGCGCCGAAGGAGCTGCCGTACCCGAGAGCTTCGCCGCCGGTAAGTCTTGATTTTTTAGAATTTTTTAGCTTAAAGAGGGCCCTAGGGGTGTTTTGTAATAGGAACCAATGCAAGTTTGGCCGAATTCGACCGAAAACGACCAACTCAAGGCGGATTGCCGTCGTGGGCAGTGGCGCCGTCACCGGAGCACGACGGAGCCGCTGTACCGGAATTCTGAAATTGGCCAAAAGGGCTCTGGATCTGATTTGGGGTTTTTTGGGGACATGTGCAGGTACCAGAAGTGTTTTTCAGTTTCCGGAGAAAAATTCAGGGAATCTAGAGACTGCTCGTAGGCGTAGTAAGAACCCGATTTCAGACTCCGAAACAAGTAAGGATCCCTCACCCTATTTCCTATCACGGTATTAAAGGCTAATAAAAGATAAAACGGTATTTTATGAATTAATAGATATGTATAATTGATTAAGGTTGCTAATGTAGCTTGAATCTGATATATTTTCGATCAGGTGTTGTTTGATTTATTTTACAGTTTTGAATGCAGTATGGTGCCTGATGTGTTTATTATATGGTTTCGTATGCATGAATCAGGGTTTCATTTATTATGTTTTGAATTATTGTGAACCCGATATTGTGTTGCCTTATTTGGTGTCCATTACTGGTTTATATGTTTGTATTTGATTGGATAATTGAGATTAAGAAAAATAGAAAAATGTATGTGAATTGATAATGGATAATGTCGATAGGCTGACTAAATATTCTGGGAAATGGTGGACGGACCGGATCCATAGGGAACCTTACCGGGAACGTGGTCTCTCATATCGGACGGGGTATGGAGACTTTATGTATTTTGACGCTCATACCGGACGAGGTATGAGAACGGCCTGTTTCACCCTCATACCGGACGGGGTATTGAGGTTTATGGTTTTGGAACCCATACCGGACGGGGTATGAGGACGGCCCTGGAATTAAGTTATTAATGTGAATGGTTCACGTGTAACGGGGACCCCCCTATGGATCCCCATGAATACTAGTAGACTGATAAAAGAAAAAATTTGTTGCCTAATAACTAAAATACAAAAACATGATATGTGTTATGTTACAGAGTGTGCATGATCTTATGATGTTTACGATGTTATTGTCTCTCATAAGTTGTTTTCATGAATCTCACTGAGGTAAGTGGACAGTAAATATTTTCATTATTGATAAATGAGTTTGTTATAAACTATGCTCCATTGGTCGTATTTTTTGTTTTCTACCAACCTTTACTTCTATAACAGTGAGATAGTGTGATGTCTTTACTGGGCTACTGTAGCTCATTCCTTACTTAACCATTTCAGATCAGGAGAACTTGGTTCCCGAGCCCATTTTGCAGGAAGACGGCGAGTAGTAACCAAATAATTTATTAGTTTTCCTTATAGTATTCATTCATAATATTTCCTTTAATTTAGTTTATTCTTTCATACGTTTAATT